ATGACCAAGCATGGCTAAACTGAATTAACATGGGTGACAAAAAGAGTTTTAGCCTGCAAGCTGTCAAATGGTTTCTCATATGCATGTATGGGTGCAATTGGGTGTACTCCCTGGTCTTCATCATCACCGGTATTCTGCACTACAATACCGTTGAGTCAGACATCCAGGTGTTCAAAGAGGAAGTCCGTGATTTTTCTGACAGTTATGATCCAAGTATTAAGAGATTTGGTTTGTATTTATTATAATTTATAAACTATAACCTAGTTTAGTTTTATAGAATGTACTATTTATTATTTTCTAGTTATAATTGTAAAAATATTAATCTAGCACACAATTATATTACAGAGGCAATATTTTTTATTGTATTGGGATTTGTGAGTTTGATCCTGATGACTTACGTAATATACGTGACATATTATGAGCACCCAAAACAGAGCACCGGTATCGCGGTTTTATTTATCCTGATGTTTGCCATTAATATACTGTTTGGTGAGTTGAGTGTGAAGGTGACGGTCGGCGCGATTTTGACGGTATTTATGGCTACACTCTATGCATATCTCGTCGACAAACAAATGAAAGTAAATGCCCGCAGAGGGGCACAGGATATGGAAATGGATGTTAATGGCTGTCCAATTTACGTGTGAATTATTATGTATTGAAACAACATATTTGTTAGTCAATTATATTTTTACTAATATGAGTTTATGATCAAAGAGTTTTTGAATCAAAAATGTTTTATTTATAATGAAGATGTAAATTATTTTAAAAATTTATAATTACGGTATATTTGTTTAGTATAAATTAATAGGTTTTACTATGTTAATTTGATATATTTTGGGAAAAATATAACAAACATTTAGCCAATAATTTTGTTCATTATAAAACTATCATACTGTAAATGATACATACTATGTTTTTATTATATTAATTACAATTTCAACATTAAAACACAGAATAAATATTTTAATGAAGAATTAAAAGGTCATTTATTATTACAGTATTTTGTAAATATAAAACTTAAAGTTAATAAAAATGATAATAAATAAAAATAAATAATAATTTTTTTTTCAAAAGTAGTCTAAATAAGTTAAATTTATTATTGCGTAAAATCACAACAATTTGACATTTATTTGTTTGCAATATTCTGTATGGCATACCATGTAATGTAAAGATATTCCTTAATTATTTAACATATTGACTAAATTAAGCAAGCTATTAACTTAAGTTTTTTATGTAAAATTTGGATTACAAAATTGTTAAACTAAACACATATCATAATATTTTATAATTAAATACAATGCTAATTTATTGTTTAAAATTTAATTACATTCAATTAATGAAGTATCTATAAATAAAAATAATTAAATTATAACCTTATAATAACTTAGCAAAATATTTCATAAATCCAATCCAGTTATAAATGTAGGCATTAGAGCGCATAATCATAAATATTTTTTATATTGAATGGCGCCATTTATTTATTTATTTACATTTTATCAATGACATGGATCATACCAAATATATTAAATATTCTATCTATATATTTAATAAATATTACTAAATAATAAAATTAATATTTTATTTATATAATGGATAATCACTGTTTATTATTTAGGATTATAAAATACATGTTAATCGCCATATATATATTTTTCCTATTTATTGGTATTATAATATTCATATTTGGCGCATACTACTACTACTCGAGTAAAAAATTTAAAAATTATGATTTAACTATTTTCAATGATGTTGAGGAATATAATAATAATCAAGATAATTTAAAAACAGCAGGTTCGTCTTATTTTTCTAATTTATAAGACAGAGCTTAGTATTAGTTTAATATCCTTGATGTAATGATAATATTTTGATAATTATCAGGTAAGGTTTTGATGATAGTGGGCTTAGTGGAAATGTCCCTGATAATATATTTTATATACGCTGTGTACACCGAGTCTATAAAGCAAAACATCGGGGTAGTCGTTGTATGGATTTT